CCTGTAAGGGGAAACTCTTTATATATTGACTTTGTTCTTTGTTTTACAGCCTGTCATAGCATATTTCCTGGGTATCCTCTGTCTGGCTATCAAAACCCATTCAAAATATATAACATAGGAAGAGATGAAGTGAAAATAGAATATTTTTCCGAGATGGCTTCTTTTTGCTATTCAGAAGTCTCAGCTATTTAAGGAGGCCAGTGTAATGATGACAGAAAACAGGTTCACCAGGTTACTGATGCAAAAATGGTTCCCCTGAAGAGGGATCAAGGCTGTCCTAGAGAAGTGGCCTCTGTGATTGCTCTGCCTGTCCCTGAGGCCTCTGGTATTTATTCATCCCAGGAAAAAAAAGTCTGCATGCTCTTCTGAGTCTCACAGTAAGATACATCCTACTGGAGCTGTAAGGGCAGGCTGGGGAGGCACACCAGGACTGCCTCTGAAAAATAAATGTCTTAAAGATTGATGGCTTGATGATCTCTTTGGAGATTATATCAAAAATTATTGATTATGTTACAAGCCGTGGAAAATAGGCTCTAAGGTTGGGAACTAAGTGCTTTCTTTAAAATAATCCAGAAGCAGTAGAATAAATCAATGTGCAACCCCTCTAAAACACTGTAGCTATCATACTGGCATCACGAATAGCTTGGCTTCAATGTGGAAAAAGCAATACTATTTTTTAAAAAAATTGTCTGAACAATTGTCTCGGCATGCTAAAAAAAGAAGCCAAAATTTTATTCTAGTATTTATTTTGCAAAATTTTACAGAATTCCTAACTTCTAGCACTCATTTATTTCCTAAATCAATGGAAAAACTATAAAGCTTTTTAAGGAATTTGTGCCAAACAGGGCTTTTATTTTTTCTTACTTTCTTTTGCAAAAATAAAGATACAAAAGCTTTTTGAAATATTTTGGTTTCAACAACTGATNCTCAATGGAAACTAATTTCATTGCAGCACCTTTCAGTTTAGTAATAGCTCTGAACCTGGGATACCTAACACATGTTTTTAGTGGAATCTCTTAATCTTTATGGGCCTGAGTTTCCTCATCTGTAAATTCAGGAGATTGGACCAGATGATCTTTGAGGCTTCTTTGAACTTGTGTAATTTTTTGATTCCATTTCCTGAAGAAAGATGTACTTATTTTGGGGGATTGAGAAACTGAGCATATTAAAGGCTTCTGAGCCTCTGGTTGCATCTATATATTAATGTCCTGTCAGCATCTGGGATTGTTTGCCCTTTATGTAACAGGTGCTGTACCACGTGGGGGAATACCATGAGGCGCAGATCTGTCTCTGCCCATCAGGTTCCTTCAGCAGGGGTCAGGGCAGGGATGGGGGGACAGGCTAAGAAGAGTTCAGTTGAACTGAATTTACCACTGGGGAGGTTTTCTTCTCTTAACCATGGAGTCCAAACTTCTTGGGCAAAACATCAGCAAAACTGCTCTCACACACAGTCTCCTTTGCTTAAAATAATGAGTGGGACATGAGGTAGAAAGTGAATTTGTAATGTTTGGGGTCTGAAGGAAAATTTTTAGCTAAGACTCCAGCAGAATAACTTCACTTCCTGCTTCTGTACAGTGCCTTGCTCAAGACCCTAGTCTGTGTGACTGCCTGGATACAGGCAGGGCCAATAAGAAAGCCTGCATGCCTGCCTAAGAAAAGTATAAAACTGCAACCCTGCCCGCACTCAGGGTCCCAGGATTTAGAACTTGAGTTCATGTGGGTCCCGCTAACGTAATAAACTTCCTGATTCTCCAACTCTCTGAGTCTCTGAAGATTCCTTGTTGAGTTTGTTCCATAACAGTATTTCCCTGGAGCAGGCTGAGGGTAACCCCAGTTTTTTTACTAGAAAGAGTATAGCATGGCCTTTGTATTTCCTTATAAGAGCCTTGTCTTACTCCATCATGGTTATATTTTGTTCCATAACAGTATTTCCCTGGAGCAGGCTGAGGGTAACCCCAGTTTTTTTACTAGAAAGAGTATAGCATGGCCTTTGTATTTCCTTATAAGAGCCTTGTCTCACTCCATCATGGTCACAGTGAACTTAAAAATACCTCCACTGCTTTGAAGCCTTTTCAGATGATGATGAAATAAAAGAGTCTATTGAGGCATATGAGATATTGTGAAAGCTTCTGCTAGTTTACATCTGCGATCCCTAAAGAGGAGTTTATCACTCTCATATTTCAGCCGAGTGTGTTCTGCAAAACAGGTTCCTCCAATCGCACTGGTCTTATGGCATTCTTTACTTTCCTAGGTAGGACGTTTGAGCATAATGCATCCAAAACACTCAAAATGTGTCATTTTCCTAAAAAAAAATTTCCTCTGAAATGAACCTGCAGCTCCATGATGTCTTTCCAGGCACCTCCTGAGCAGGGTCGCGAGACCACCTCTGACTTGGTCTCTGCCCTGATTCCCTAAGCCAGTGCCCACGTGTTCCTATTTCCAATATTTAACACATGAGGCATTTCCTAAGGACACTTAGAGGAATTACATGTGAAATTAACATATCTCATGGAAAGTTATCCTCTCTTCCTGGTTTTCATTTTTGCTGCATCTTTTGCCTATGAAATCCCTATTAAATATGAACTTTTCTGCAGAGGAATTACATGTGAAATTAACATATCTCATGGAAAGTTATCCTCTCTTTCTGGTTTTCATTTTTGCTGCATCTTTTGCCTATGAAATCCCTATTAAATATGAACTTTTCTGTCTGCTTCTCAGTTTTCTAGGGACATCAGCAGATGATGGCAACAAGTCATATTCACCAAAAACTTGGTTCCCCATTTGGAACCAAGTACATGCCTACCCAGGGTTTCACTTTATGAGAGTCTCCTGTAAGGCAAAGCTGGAAAAAAATGGGAAAGGCTTGTGAGGTGTGGAAAGAGTCTGAGTTCTAATCCAGACTCTGCTAGTAGGCAAGTGAGGTTTGATGTTCTCACCTACAGAAAGGCTATAATGATGTGTGCCTTGTGGTTTTATAAACCACAGAAATAATTTGTAATATTTTAAGATGTTAAACTTTTGTAGGGGATTATTTATAGCTTGCACCAATAATTGAAACTAAATTCAGGAAAGAGATAACCAAAAAGAGATCCTGGATGAGCTTTATGCTTTCCTATCAGTCACACATGTTGACCAGTTCAACAGAATCAAATTATGTCATATGTGCTCCTAGAAGCTGTAATTATTTTATTCTTTCTTACAAATAATTTAGAGAGAATTATGGTGTGCTGGGGAAAAGTAAGCATTTTAGAGTAAGATCAGAGTCTGAGATCCTGCTTTGCTGTTTATCAGATGGGGGACATTGCTTGGGGCAATGTCCCAATCAAATAGGTTAATTTCTTTGACCCTTGGTTTTCTAATACATAATTTGGTAAAACAGTACCTTTTGCTTAGGATTGCTGTGAAGATTAAATATAACAAAGTGGAAAAATGACTAACAAGTGCCTAAAACTTTGCGTGCTTGCAAAAGGATTAATTTCCTGTCCCCTGTCATCTTCATATTCCCAGTAGAAGAGAAAGAGATGGAGAATGTCAGGGGCCTGCAGAGTGTGGCTTGGTGGAGGAACTCATATTTGGGCACTGAAAAATCTGAGCCATCAGGGTGAAATAGACTTAACTGTTCCTTGTTAAACAGTCCCCTTCCCCTCTCTATTTTTATTCATTCATTTATTTATTTTTTAATAGACTCATTGTAATTGTACATATTTATAGAGGACAATCTCATGTTTCGATACGTGTATATGTTGTATAATGATCAAATCAGGGTAGTTAGCATATCCATCACTTTGTGCACTTAAAATTTGTTCATGGTGACAACATTCAAAAGCCTCTCTTCTAGCTATTTTGTAAGACTTGAAAGATTTTACTGGTTAACATAAGAAATTTAAAAATCTTTTAATCTACATAGTCATAAAACTGGGGAAACTGTGGAAATTTAATAGTGAAAATAATTATAAATCGTTGAACTTTTCTTGTAATAAACCACTCTTCCCTTCCTTCTCCTGAGTGGTACAGTCCACAGGAGGATACTGCTTAGGTCAAGCAACTCCTCGAGGATTTCCCTCTCTGCTTTGTTATATGATGCTTTGTTCATTCTCACGGCATTAAATTAGGCATAAATCTTGATCAGTTTTTTAGTAAGCACACTTAAAGATGGTAATACCTTGAAGCATTTCTTCAAAAGATTATAATTATAAAAGTAATTATATAACCATTGATGAGCAATGTTCTTCAAGGAAAAGATAGAAAATGAAAATATGCCCCCACATCCCACAACATAGTTAATCCTTTTTAAATTTAAAAATGAAGTTGTACATATAGATGTTTACATGATGATAGAATCATACCACATATAGTGTAATGATCTTTTTTTTTCACTTAGCATTACATCTTATTGCATCTGAAAATACATTTTTTTATCATTATTTTTAATGGCTACATAGTATTTTATTTTATGAACACACCACAAATTATTTGATTTTCTGTTGATAGGCATTTAGTATCAATTCATTTTTATTATTATTATTATTTTTTACTTTAAACTGTTCTGTAGAACACGTGCCTGAAGTAATTCTAAATAACTTTACAACATGGGTTGGTCATTTGGTTGGACGGATGTTTGCATCTCTCTCCTCATATCCTCAGTTTATCAGAAGGCAGGTCACCACATTCCACAATCAGTGGGATTATATCTTCTTCAGATTTCACAGATACATATTCAAGAGTGTAAAGAAAGTAGGAATTCAGGAACTTGGACCACGTTTTACCTTAAAATTAAGAACTCTTCAGAAAGGAACCTTTGATTCTAAATATGGAGAGTATGAATGGATCCATAAAACCTGGGAAATGGACACAACCAGACGAAAATTCCATTTATGAAGTACTGAGGGAATAGTATTGGATTTTGCTGAACAGGCCTATCTTGAACTTGGTACATTATTTTGTGAGAGAACACCCTTTTCGAAATGGCATTTACTGATTTCATAAATCTTCTTTCATGTCTGGAGAAATTTCCAAGTGCCATGAATTGTATGTTTATGTAGCAAATATAAATAAAAGTCATTTTGGTGAGGTTTTTTTTTTAAAAAAGAAAAAACTGTGCTGTCATGAACACTTGTCTAAATACTTCCATGAAATAATTACCTAGAAGGCAATTCTAAGTCAAAAGTAAATGCACTATGGCCTCCAGTAGATATTTCTAAATTGTCCTTCATAATGTAAGGAATCTTATTCTAAGAACAATCCCAACAGCAGTGTAAAAGTGTCACTTTAAAGCACAAGATAAGGTTAAATCCTAGTGATATGAATTCCCTATTGTCTAGTAGTGGTGAGGTTTCTAATTTTTCTGTGTATTGATGTTTTAGTAAAAAAATTTAAAATAAAGTTTTTAAAGAGCACTGATTCATAACAGTTATTTCCCATCCCTTCTCCTACTCTCTTCTAGGTTAATTTATCTTTTTCTCTCTCTTTTTTTCCCCTCCAGGATGGAAGTATGATGTGATGGATATAATTATGGGATACTGTGCGGGCACCCGGCCTCCTTCTTCTTGCCTCATCCTCCTGCTTCTCAAGCTATTGGCCACTGTCTCCCAGGGGCTGCCCGGGACGGGACCCCTGGGCTTCCACTTCACACATTCCATTTACAATGCCACAGTGTATGAGAACTCAGCAGCAAGGACCTACGTCAACAGCCAGAGTAGAATGGGCATCACCTTAATAGATCTGTCCTGGGATATCAAATACAGAATAGTATCCGGAGACGAGGAAGGCTTTTTCAAAGCAGAGGAAGTCATCATTGCAGATTTCTGTTTTCTCAGAATAAGAACTAAAGGTGGCAATTCTGCCATACTGAATAGGGAAATTCAGGACAATTATTTATTGATAGTAAAAGGTTCTGTCAGAGGAGAGGATTTGGAAGCATGGACCAAAGTGAATATACAGGTGTTAGATATGAATGATCTGAGACCTCTGTTCTCACCAACAACGTACTCTGTTACAATAGCAGAAAGCACACCTCTGAGGACTAGTGTCGCCCAGGTGACAGCAACAGATGCAGATATTGGTTCCAATGGAGAATTCTACTACTACTTTAAAAACAAAGTTGATCTTTTCTCAGTTCACCCTACGAGTGGTGTCATCTCTTTAAGTGGACGACTAAATTATGATGAAAAGAATAGGTACGATCTGGAAATTTTGGCTGTGGACCGGGGGATGAAACTGTATGGAAACAATGGAGTGAGCAGCACTGCAAAGCTTTATGTTCACATTGAACGTGTAAATGAACACGCCCCAACGATCCATGTAGTCACTCATGTTCCGTTCTCATTGGACAAAGAGCCAATGTACGCAGTGGTGACAGTCGATGACCTAGATGAGGGGGCTAATGGAGAGATTGAATCTGTTTCCATTGTGGCTGGGGATCCTTTAGATCAGTTCTTCCTGGCTAAGGAAGGAAAGTGGATGAATGAGTACAAAATTAAGGAGAAGAAGCAGGTTGACTGGGAGAGCTTTTCCTATGGCTACAATCTCACTCTTCAAGCAAAAGATAAGGGGTCACCTCAAAAGTTTTCAGCATTAAAAATAGTCCACATTGCCAATCCCAAAAGAGACACTGTCCCAATTAGGTTTGAAAAAGAAGCATACGACGTGAGCATAAGTGAGTTTTCCCCTCCTGGTGTCATGGTTGCTATAGTAAAATTAAGTCCTGAACCGCTGGATGTGGAATACAAATTATCTCCTGGTGAGGATACAGAGTACTTCAAAATTAATCCTCGGTCAGGTCTGATTGTCACAGCACAGCCACTAAATACTGTTAAGAAAGAGTTTTATAAACTGGAGGTGACAGACAAGGAAGGAGATTTAAAAGCACAAGTTACCATTGGCATAGAAGATGCAAATGACCACACCCCAGAATTTCAGCAGCCACTGTACGATGCTTATGTGAATGAAAGTGTTCTGGTGGGAACGAGCGTTCTGACAGTTTCAGCTTCTGATAAGGATAAAGGCGAAAATGGGTACATCACCTATAGTATTGCCAGCCTGAATTTGTTACCATTTGCCATTAACCAGTTTACAGGTATTATTAGCACAACTGAAGAATTGGATTTTGAATCCTCCCCAGAAACTTACAGATTCATTGTTAGAGCCTCTGACTGGGGTTCACCATACCGCCACGAAAGTGAGGTAAATGTGACTATTCGAATAGGAAATGTCAATGACAATAGCCCTCTCTTTGAAAAAGTGGCTTGCCAGGGAGTAATTTCGTATGACTTTCCAGTTGGTGGTCACATCACAGCTGTCTCAGCAATTGATATTGATGAGCTTGAACTTGTAAAGTACAAAATCATTTCTGGAAATGAACTTGGCTTCTTTTATTTAAACCCAGACTCCGGGGTTTTACAGCTTAAAAAATCACTGATGAATTCTGGCATTAAAAATGGTAATTTTGCCCTCAGGATTACAGCAACTGATGGAGAGAATTTTGCAGACCCCATGTCTATTAACATTTCAGTCCTGCATGGGAAGGTGTCTTCAAAGAGTTTTAGTTGCAGAGAAACTCGTGTGGCTCAAAAGCTGGCAGAGAAACTACTCATTAAGGCAAAAGCAAATGGAAAACTGAATCTGGAAGATGGATTTCTTGACTTTTATTCAATTAACAGGCAAGGTCCACATTTTGACAAGTCTTTTCCTTCTGATGTGGCTGTGAAGGAGGATCTGCCAGTTGGTGCTAACATCCTGAAGATTAAAGCCTACGATGCCGACTCTGGCTTCAATGGAAAGGTGCTATTTACAATATCTGATGGAAATACAGACAGTTGTTTTAATATTGATATGGAGACGGGGCAACTTAAAGTCCTTATGCCCATGGATCGAGAACACACAGACCTCTATCTCCTTAATATCACCATCTATGACTTAGGTAATCCACAGAAATCTTCATGGAGATTGCTGACTGTCAATGTGGAGGATGCTAATGACAATAGCCCAGTTTTTCTTCAAGATAGTTACTCGGTTAACATTCTTGAAAGCTCAAGTATTGGTACTGAGATTATTCAAGTGGAAGCCAGAGACAAAGACTTGGGTTCTAATGGGGAAGTGACTTACTCGGTCTTGACTGACACGCAGCAGTTTGCCATCAATAGCTCAACTGGAATCATTTATGTAGCTGACCAATTGGACCGGGAATCCAAAGCAAACTACTCCTTGAAAATAGAAGCCAGGGACAAGGCAGAAAGTGGTCAGCAGCTGTTTTCTGTTGTTACTCTTAAGGTTTTTTTGGATGATGTCAATGACTGCTCCCCAACTTTCATTCCCAGTAGCTACAGTGTGAAGGTTCTTGAAGATCTCCCTGTTGGCACTGTCATTGCTTGGCTGGAGACCCATGATCCAGATCTTGGATTGGGGGGTCAAGTGCGCTATTCTTTGGTCAATGACTATAATGGGAGATTCGAAATAGATAAAGCAAGTGGTGCCATCCGCTTGAGCAAGGAGCTTGACTATGAAAAACAGCAGTTCTATAACCTCACAGTTCGGGCCAAAGACAAAGGGCGGCCTGTCTCTCTGTCATCTCTTTCCTTTGTTGAGGTGGAAGTGGTAGATGTCAATGAAAACCTTCACACCCCCTATTTCCCAGACTTTGCTGTCATTGGATCTGTGAAAGAAAACTCCCGCATTGGAACAAGTGTGCTGCAGGTGACTGCCCAAGATGAAGACTCCGGGAGGGATGGAGAGATCCAGTACTCCATCAGGGATGGCAGTGGCCTTGGGAGGTTCAATATAGACGACGAGAGTGGTAAGTTTGATATTTTGTGCCGGAAGAGTTGTTTCACCTCTTTCAAATCATCAGCATTAGAAAAGTAAATGGACATTAGGGCACTAAAATCGAATGACAAATGAGGTTATGTTTGGTGTAGAGATGACGCAAATAAAAGCGTTTTTATAGAATGTGTTGGTTTGTAAGAAGATCTGTTTGTACAGTAATAGCCATGGTTTCCAGTGGGAGGCTCTGTTTTGTTTTGTTTTTTCTTGCTCAGCACTACTGCTACCAGCTTATCTTTTGATAAGCCTAAGTAATTGTCACTTCTGATGATTGTACTCCTGACCCTCACTAAATGAAGGGCCCTGCTAAAGTAAATTACATTTGAATTGGCTTTAAATTAGAAGTGTGAAATGAATTTTCAAATGGATCTTATATAAGGATCTTTCCCTTTGCAGCACGGCTTTGCTGAAGTGATATTACTTAGTTGCTTAGTCTTTCATGTTTCATGGCTGCATCTGGCCCTTGAATGAAGGACATTTGCATTGTGTATGTGCCTTAATATGTGGAGGTGTACTTCTATGCCTCCATGTGATTTTATTTATAAAAAGTTGATTTTAAAATTTTATTTATAAGAATTGACTTTTTATAGACTATTTTTAAATACGGGGCAAAAATTGTCCCAGCACTTTCGTTTTTATTCTCTATCATGGATAGATTTTTAAAAAATACTTGTTATTGTCATTATTTGTCTTTAAATGTACATGTGCCTGGACACATGCATGTGTGCATGTGATTTATTAGCACTGTACATTTTTCTAGTCTTTTGGTGATAGACATCTCAAGAAAGGGACTGTGTCTTCTCTATTCTTGTGTAAATGGTAATATTAGCATGTTCCAGTTTCCAGGACACATTTACATATATTAAATTATTTCCTACAGTGCTCACAGGGTGCTGTCCTCCCTGTCTTAGCCAGCTTAGGTAGCTATAACAAAATACCATAGACTACGTGGCTTAAACAACAGACATTTATTTCACAGTTCTGGAGGCTGGAAGTCCAAGATCAGGGTGCCACCATGGTCAAGGTGAGGGCTTTCTTCCAGGCTTGCAGGCTGTCGACTTCTTACTGTCCTCACATGGCAGAGAGAGAGAGAGGGCTTTGGTATCTTCTTATAGTGACACTAATCCGGTCATGGAAACTCGACCCTGACGACCTTGTCTAAACCTAATTACCTCCCAAAGACCCCACCTCCAAACACCCCACATTTGGGGTTAGGGCTTCAAAATATAATTTTTGGAGGCACAAAAACATTCAGTTCATAATAGTCTCAGTGATAATGATGATGATTAGAACAGGTAGTAGGAAGATGTCATTGTAGAGATACTAACTGTACATCCATAATACCAGAAAAAGGATTTGAGAAACTATTAAATATTGGATGGGGGGAGAAGAAAAACAACTATATGTATCATCTCAAATTTAAACTGTAATTTTTGCATACATAGGATCTAATTATGGCAGGTGTACATTGTAAAATTGTTCTCTATAGCCATAATGAAGAAAAAGGTAAATGTCAGGAAAATTCACTCCTGATTTAAGACATACTGTATTCTATTATGTATCTCTTATAATTTGGTTGGAATCTATTTCCACCTTGTAGAACAAACTGAGAAAGGAGCAGAATTAACCTTTTCTGCGTGCCTATTTTGTGCCAATGCTTTACTTCTCCTAATAATGACTTCATTGAGTACTTACAAATGTGTAACATATTGTATAAAGGGTTTTATAATAGGGTCTTATTTAATTTATCCAGTAGCCACACGAGGTAGGACTAATAATTATCAACTCAGGAAATGAGCTTCAGAGAAGGTCTATAACTTGGAGCCTGGTTTCAAACTTAGCTCTGAGTAACTGCAGTATACTGTGTTATCTTCCACCTAAAGAAAAGTATGGGTTTCCTTGCATGTTCCCCAGTACACTCAAATTTTGGGTTGATCTAAAATCTGTAAGGCAGTGAAGTGTCAAAGACCTTATAGCCCGGGGCTCATTGATTGATGGCACTGGCCATTGATCAACCTTTCTATTTTCCTTATAGTCCTATTGTTTGTGTGGCTTTCTAGGGATCCAGCTTAGGTTTGCTATTCAGGTAGCTGTGGGTACGTAGGTCAATAGGAAGACATTGAGCTGAATCATTAACCACCACCATGTAGATGACCATATCAAGGCATATTGAGTTATTTTTATCAGGAACGATTTGGTGAGGTAGCCTAGATTTTTCCCATATGTACTGTGTTATTTTGTTTTTACTTTGGGTGTTATTTTAGAAAATGTATGTACAGTTTCATCTGATGATAAAGCTGCTTTTGTAATTCTTGACTCCAAGAATTTGATATCTTTTGCCTCTGTTGAAAAGAAAATTCACTGCTCTGAATTTGTTCTATTATATTCTGGATTGTATAAAATAAGTTTTATCACCAATGATAATAATGCCTCTTACATGTTGACATTGCTTTGTGACTTAAAAAACTCTTTCCTATAAACATAAATTCCTTTGGGTAAAAGAATAGCTAAGTGAGTTGTGTAAGGTCACACACCCACTGAAGAGTATAAGCTGGGTGCGGAACCTACAGCTTCTCAGCCCTAACTCAGTGTTCTTTCCTTTACTTTCATTACATATGTTTCTGATTTGTTTCCCTAGAGAGTTTTTTAATTTTTAAAACTATGGTAACAATTTCCTTTCCCCCATATTGTTTAGTTCTGTTCCCTTCTCTTAGAAAATAAAATTGGGATTTTCCCTATATTATAGGAAAAAGGCTTGGACTTGCTGATAAGATTTCTATGCAGATTAGTTTCCATATAATGATATTCTTAATGATTGTACTTCATCCCCTCTCACTGCATGTCGATTTTGGCATCCAAGTCCTAGAAGCTGATGAAGAATGATTGGTTGGACTTGTGCCAGGGGGATGCTAGGGTTGAGAAGTTTGGCAATTTCATGTCCAATAAGAGAAGTCAACACGATGGTGCTATTGAGTTCACACTACTCTTGAATGATCCATCAGCTCTTTGCTTCCAAATGCTAAAACTGTGGTTAGAGCTTCTAGCAAAATGAATGGCTTGTTAGCCCTGCAGCTGTTCCTGAGTCTCAGGTCCAGATTCCATTGTCTTTATTTGACTTGTGGACACAGAATGGCCCAAACTTGTTCAGATTTTTGTCTTTTAAAACCTTTGCATCAGCTGCCAATGGCTTGCATTGGTTAGTGGTTCTCAAACTTACATTACACATGAATTATCTAAAGAGTAGGTTAACAATTTAGATTCGCAGGCCAAATTCCCAAAGATTCTGTTTCAGTAGGTCTGGGGTGGGAGCCCAGGGCTCTCCATCTAAGCACTCCAAGCATTCCTTCTGCATGTGATTTGGAAACACTACTTTTAATTTACTTGGTCTCCTAAGAGAGCGGCTACCAGACTATACCCCTTCTGTGAAGTCTTTTTCCTTATTCTTTCAAAACGCAGAGGCTTGAGCTCATGTCTTAGATAATTTGTTTTCTAGTCACATTTTGCAATCCAAATAAATCTTTTAGTATTCATTAGTGACGATATTTTTCTGAATGCCTTCCCGATGGATCAAAAATCTATTTATGTGCTTCAGTAATTGCAGTACTTCCGTTTTGTGAAAGTGCATATGCTGGGATTAGTTGATGCACTTAGTAGTTTTATGTTCTTAACTTTTTTGGAGCTCAGTGAAAAAAACCATACCTTTGAAATTCTTTACCATGCACAGGTATTTAATAAATGTTCACAGTAAGTGAATTAACTGCCCCCTCACCCCTGCTACAGTGGATTTGATCACAATTTACATAACTAGTCTGGAAGATGCGATTTAATCATATTTTCCTTCATAAAGAATTCATTCTTATTTTTTGACACAACAGGGATTCATGTTCTTGACTACTCAGAGGTTTTAGAAGGTTTTAGAAAGAATACATTGTATATTTTAGACTTTGAGTTTTTAATTAGATTCTTTCTTAAGCTACAAACTTGAGCAATGATTTAACCATCTATTTACTTGAGATTGATTAAAGATATATTTAATTGAGATGAACAAGTTCCAATTCAGCACTTTAATCATGGATAATTGGGAAGATATTTTGCCATCCATTATTATTAACAGTATTATTTCTTTCATTTATCAAGTACCTACTATGTGCCAGGTACTATGCAAGGTACTTCTTAGGAACTATTTCCAAATATGACAGTAGTCCAAAGAGGTACAGTTTACTAAGGCTTGCCCAATCAGAGTCACACATCTGGTAGTTGTCAGAGCTGAGATTTGAACTCCGGTGCAATGGACTCCAAATTTCATGTCATTTCCCCTGTTTTCTACTCCAGCATGCCCTTATAACTTTGTTACACACATACATTAGTCAGGTTTTTCTATATTATTGCTGAATAACAAACAATCACAAAATTTCATGTGAAACTTTTTGTGGATTTTCCAATGGCTTATGGAAACAAACATTTTTTTTCTCTTGCCCAGGAGTCTGGGAGAACAGCAGAAACAGCACTTTTGCAGACTGCATTGACTTGCAATCTGGTCCATGTGTCTTTCCATTCCAGGTCCCAGGCTGAAGGAGTACCCACTTTCTGGGATGTGATGTTCTCAAAGTGGAGGGCAGGAGTGCAAGAGGGCTGATGGAAACTTGTAGTGCCTCTTAAAGTCTCTGCTCAAAACTGGCCCATATTCCATTGGCCAAAGCAGGTCATAGGACCAGTTTCAACACTGATGTGGGAAAGAAAAGAATACCCCTTGTCATGGTCTGACTATTGTCCCCCCACCCCCCAAATTCAGGTTAAAACCTAATTCCCAATGTGATACTATTGAGAAGTGAGGCCTTTGGGAAGTGATTAAGTCATGAGGGCTCCATCCTCATGAATGTAATTAGTGTCCTTCTAAAAGAGGCAGGAGGAGTAAGTTACCATGCCCTTCTGCCATCTGTGAGGAATGAACCCACATCAGATACTGTGCGCACC